GCATGAATTTGCTGAAATGAATGACACTAATACCACAGTGGACTACTCACCATTAGCACTGCAAAGTTATTGTGATGGGTGCAATGGATAGTGGTCGTGTTGCCCCCGGAGCCCGTTATGTGGCAGCCCTCTGCCCTCCAGCCACCGTGTCCATCTAGCAGGTCAAAATCCCAATAGGCTGCGGTGGGGTCTACACCCAGCGCGAAGTGCCTGAGAGCAATAGTGACGGAGTGCACGGCGCTCCCCAGGCTGCACCCATCTGCAAGGAAGAGCAGCGCATTCAGTCTGGGAAACCAAGTGGAAAGTCAGTAAGTGCTGTGGAGAAGAGAACCGCGGTGGACGTGCACGGTCGTGCATATTCAAACATGCAGGGAATATACACACACACACACACCTGCAGCTCATACATGTGTGAGGTGACATCAACTCCAGTCACACTGTTGCTGACTTACTAATGTTTGATGGTTTTTTCCCTCTCAACTTATGTCTGGATCAGAAACAGTGTGCAGAAATCAAATACGGTTCAACATGACTTTTATTATCATTATATAGAACAAGTTTAGGATAAGTTTCGGCTTCTTTTCTGGATAAATGTACAAAAACGCAGTGACGCTTGGTGATCGCATGTTGCGCAAAACAGGCTGATCCAGTGAGTGAGTGTGTGTGTGTGTGCGCGCGCGCGTGTGTTGGCATGTCGTCGACCAGCACGGCGTTTACATCACAGACAAGGTGGTAAAAATGGATTTTCCTCTTACCTAATTTGGTGAAAGCAACTGGTGTTGAAACGCTCCTACGCTTCCCGTCGTCTGCGAGATTTGACGAATTCCCCGTACAAGGAAAGAGTTTTCCATTGCGAAACACAATAAACTGCAGCTTGCAAGTGGAGTTATCAACAGATTGCAGCGTAGAGGAGGGGAAAGGCGTTCCAGCCAGCGGTAAATGGATTGAGGCGACTGCCACAGAGTTCTGAGGAGGGAACACAAAACAGAGAAAAAAAGATGTATCCAATGTGCGCAGGGGTAAAATGTGAAGAGGAGAAACGATAAAGTCCCAGAGACGAGCCAGTCAGATGACTCTACAGGACTGAGAGGCGACTATCCAAACACCGCCAGTGACCAAGGGAATGAGAATCACATTTGAAGCGCTCTAGTGCGCCTGTTTGGTCAGGCTCCCTGCCGCAGAGGTGGGAATGGTTCTTACCATTCCAGGTTGAGGGCACATATCAACACTGCAGCTTGATTTAAAGAGACAACCAGACTGAATTTATTGTTTTTCACTGACTAGGAACACCACAGCAGCACTGGAAAAAAAAATCATTGGAATGTTTTGGAAAAAGGAGGGGGTGAGGATGTAGCATCAATCAAGCCCAAAAAATATTCCTTAAAATGCTTTTTTAAAATCCAATAGTTCCTGAGATGCAGCCAAAACAACAACAACAACAAAAAACAAACAAACAAACAAACAAACAAACGTTTAAATGCTAATATCTTTTCTTTCTAGTAGCAATGACCTGTAGCTACTATCTGAATGTAACAGCAGCCCATTTATTGGACCTATAGAATCACCGTCCTTCCTTCAGGAATTATATGGTTCCAGCTGCAGGAACTTAGAGCCTGAACGCCCCTGGTGGACAGAAATATTACTCAGCGGTGTGTGTGGACTCTAACAGCACAGGTAGTACTTAGTCTTTAATCATAGAAATGGTACCAGAGTGACGACGTCAGCATGTTGGTGTCACGCATGTCACCACTTTCTCTGCAAGCATTTATGTCGTGTTCAATATTTTATACATAAATATTAGAGAGCATTTGAAGGAGAGGCTTCGACCACACTCACCAAATTATACATGTTTTCTTACAGCAACAAGATGACCAATGGTGACTGAGGACATTCCTGCACAGGTTCTCCAGGTTCTTTAGTCCAGTTACTCCCACATTGCAAAAGCAGAACCCGGTTAATTGGACCTCAAGGATGAATGCTAGTGTGAATGGTTGTGTCTCTGTGGAGTATGTAGCCCTGTGATGGACTGGGGAGCTGTCCAGAGAGCTGTCCAGGGTACTGACTCGTGCTGTGGGGTATGATTGCAGGAATAAAAACTATTCATGTTTTGATTCATGTCTCTGATCAGCAGAACAAAGACGAAAGAGACTTCTGTGGATTTTTTTTTCTTTTCTAATCTAATGAAACAAGCAATAACAAAATCTGGCACAATTTCACACCGTGAACAGATTTCTGGGGAAAGCAAGCACACTCAGGAGGCAGATGGAACGTGTAAAATATGGAAATGGAAAACTCTCTGAATTAAGTCGGTTTGTTCTTTTTCTTAGGATCGAACATCGGAAAAAAACAACTGTAGCCTGTCCGAGCAGATACCTGTTAACTGTAAACTGTGCATATCACTAACCAAATACAAAAACCATGATCTTTCATACCATAAAGTCAGGTGTCAAACAATCGTGCTACTTATCTTTTTGATGTTAAAGTAAATCTTCAGGTGAATTCAATACAAACATGGTCTCTCCCAAACACTCACTTAAAAGTAATTTTAAATATTCACTAATAGATCGTCTTTTTGAAGAAGTGCGTAGAAATAATTAGTAGTAAAAATAATTGTGCAGAAGCCCTGGGATCAGTAAATCTAAGCTAACAGAGTTCTTGATTTTGTCAGTTTTATAGTCTATCTAATCACTGCTGACAAATAAAAACTGATGTATCTTTGGCACAAAATATCTTAATGGAGGAGTCTAGTTGGATTCAAATTTATTCTGCAGCAAGAAACAACAGGGGGACGGTTGGAGAGAGTTACACAAAACTACCAAACTCCTTTTGTCCATTTATGTAAAACATTTGTTTACGTCTAACCACCATAGTCTGTTACAAATCCAAGAAATTGTTTAGAAAAAGCAACAACAGCTAAAATAAAACAGCTTCTACATCGATTCACTCTTCACAGGATATTGATTGTAATCCTATGGCATCTGGATGTGAACAGCACGGACAGAGCTGCTTAGACTTAAAATGTCTCTTGAATCATTTCTGTCTGTGATCGTCTCCAGCTTGGCAGTCTGTCTCCAAGGTGTCCTGGAGGCATCGGACTGAGTCAGCGGAGAGTAGAGCCGTGGCAGCCAATGAAAAGGTTAAGAAAACTCGCACTCGCAAAAACTCGCAATCGCACCTGACAGATTGACCTCCAGCCCCCCAGGGTACAATCTTGAAGCGTACGTCTTATTAGAAACAAATCATATCTCTCTTAACGTATCTCGTCACCTCTTTCATCTGGTGAACCACAGGGACTTGGAACCCAGAGGGTGGGCTGTGTACAAGGTAGAATTCTGAGCAACAATATGCGTCGTTCTGACCTACATTCCCTCGACCTCAACGCCATCAATACCAACAGAGTTGTTTTGGCTGGATGCGTCTCACCCACTGACCTCCCCCGGATCCCCTTCCTTCACGAACAGGGCAACATGCTGTAGTCTTAGTAACCATAATTACCCACTCCCTTCTGTCTGCTGCTCTGGACCCAAACACTCACTTAAAAGTAATTTTAAATATTCACTAATAGATCGTCTTTTTGAAGAAGTGCGTAGAAATAATTAGTAGTAAAAATAATTGTGCAGAAGCCCTGGGATCAGTAAATCTAAGCTAACAGAGTTCTTGATTTTGTCAGTTTTATAGTCTATCTAATCACTGCTGACAAATAAAAACTGATGTATCTTTGGCACAAAATATCTTAATGGAGGAGTCTAGTTGGATTCAAATTTATTCTGCAGCAAGAAACAACAGGGGGACGGTTGGAGAGAGTTACACAAAACTACCAAACTCCTTTTGTCCATTTATGTAAAACATTTGTTTACGTCTAACCACCATAGTCTGTTACAAATCCAAGAAATTGTTTAGAAAAAGCAACAACAGCTAAAATAAAACAGCTTCTACATCGATTCACTCTTCACAGGATATTGATTGTAATCCTATGGCATCTGGATGTGAACAGCACGGACAGAGCTGCTTAGACTTAAAATGTCTCTTGAATCATTTCTGTCTGTGATCGTCTCCAGCTTGGCAGTCTGTCTCCAAGGTGTCCTGGAGGCATCGGACTGAGTCAGCGGAGAGTAGAGCCGTGGCAGCCAATGAAAAGGTTAAGAAAACTCTGGCAATCGCACCTGACAGATTGACCTCCAGCCCCCCAGGGTACAATCTTGAAGCGTACGTCTTATTAGAAACAAATCATATCTCTCTTAACGTATCTCGTCACCTCTTTCATCTGGTGAACCACAGGGACTTGGAACCCAGAGGGTGGGCTGTGTACAAGGTAGAATTCTGAGCAACAATATGCGTCGTTCTGACCTACATTCCCTCGACCTCAACGCCATCAATACCAACAGAGTTGTTTTGGCTGGATGCGTCTCACCCACTGACCTCCCCCGGATCCCCTTCCTTCACGAACAGGGCAACATGCTGTAGTCTTAGTAACCATAATTACCCACTCCCTTCTGTCTGCTGCTCTGGACCAGTAATCATGTCTGCCTTTTTTTTTCCCCCTCTCTTCACTTATTCCCTTTCTTTTTTTTGAAGAAAAAAAAAATTTGAGACTGTCCCGTCAGCCTCCACCCCTCCCTCCGCTGCCCCTCCACCTGCTTCACTGCACACACACACACAGCTCAGCTCCACAGAACCACAGAGCTACCTGCAGGGCACAGTCAACATCAGTCTTTGACCCGGGGCGGCCACCGAATCACAGCGTCAACACCAGATGAGACATGTATCCTTGATTTCACAGACAAGGGCTGTTTACTGTTGAAAATTATGAGAGACCTCTTCTCTGTCACATCACCTGATTGAAAAAACAGCTTCTGTCTGCTTCTGGAGATACGTCTATAGGAGAGGCGCTCATTTATTTGCGCAGGCGGCAACTGGAAATTAACTATGAATGAAATGAATTTCTCTCACAGGGCCTGGTGATGAGCTCCAGCCTGGTTGATGGAGAGTGCTGACAAACACGCTGCCAGAATTGCATTAATTTTTTTTTCTGTGTAATCACTGCAGTCCTGCCAGCACAGCACAGGTCAAAGACACAATGGCCACGGAGCGGCTGGAGGTGATGGATTCTACGTATATATTTATTGTGATCAGGGATCAGAAGGATTTTAATTTTCTCACAAGAAAAATTGAGCAACCATTCATTAACACACCGTGCATCTCTGAAGGCATGTTTCCCAGGAGATAACATGATTCTATTGCCTGAAGAAACAAAACCATAATTTATTCATGTACCAATTGGCTGCAGCTTAAAAGGTGTTGGATATCACGTCAGTTTATCAAGACAAATTAAACACGGTCTGAAATTGTTGCTGTGCTAACAGGAGTTTGCTTCATGTACTGTAGTGTTTGGATGTGTTTGTGCTGAAGGGGAGGGGGGGCGGGGGGGTTACATCCGAGTAAGGCAGTAAACCAGGTTCTGAGGAGGAGCGGTACTGTTCTTCAGCTGTCAGCTCCACTCCCCTCACTCAGCTCTGACTCAGAGCCCCACATCACAGGGCTGAGCCTTCACACAAAACACTGGAGAGGCTGTAACAGATGGACGGCATTGTTTGACTAAAAAGGCACTACGGATTCGATTTTAATGAATTAATTGGGTGTAAAAGCATAATACAGTTGCTGCGGGTGATTGATCATTAGCCAACGTGAGTCTAAACTCTGAAATCACACACATCCTTGACGAGAGAGTCGATCGTGTCCCATCGGTCTAAATAGGAATAAAATATATTTTAGTGATTTGGCATCTCTTTGTCAACAAAGTGAAAAGATTAAATTTAAATAATTTTATCACAAACAAATAATACAAGATAAAACTCCAATGCTAAAAAAATGTGGCATTTTTACAAATCTGTTTTTTCTCCTCCACTCAACGCGCAACTGTGCTCAGCACTTCTCTAAATCTGCATCTATCTCGGAGATTAACTCTG